CAGCTCTCGTTTTCGGGCGATTGCCTGGCAGCACAGGTGCAGTGGAGTCCACTCAGCAAGTCGTCTTCGCCTGAGCACACCGGTCTTCAACGGACGAGTCTTCGCTGGACCCATGCATCCACCCCGGCTTTGGGCACTCATCTCATTGCGAGTCACGAGGTTGGTTGCACGCCCAGAATGCTCAGTCAGATCATCCACTGGGTCCTGGAAGGACATGCAGATGAATCACTTCAGCACTAGATGGGTCAGCACTCGCATCCGACAGGAAGCCCACCATCGTGAAGTCTCCCTGCAACAACACCGCATCGCGCCTCACATGCCCGTCACTTCGAGCGCTGGCGCATCTTTCGGCGCTTCTTCTGCAAGCGCCGCGTGCGCTTCTTCTTCCACTTCCAGCGGAACTTCGAGCGAGCCTGGCGCCAGCAGGCTGTCTTCCGAAAAGGATTCATACCAGGCACGAGAGGGACTGCGAGATGATGGCAGCCAACGACGGCACCAGACGTGCAATTGCACTTGCCGGCCTTCTTGTAGGGGTTGGACTTGTGCGCCATGGCGCCCCAAGCCCCGCCCGAGCCTCAAACTTGGCTCCCGAGCCGACCAAACGGCTCTTTCGATTGGCAAGCACACAGATTAATACTGTTGGGCCTCGCAGGCTCCGGACTTTGAAGTATTGCTGCTGACTGTACATTCGTGCTAGAGATTGCTGCATCGTACGATGCGGGACACTCACCGTGGCTGTACACCTTTCATGCAGTGCCGCAGATGTTTGTTGCACTTCCCTGCTGAATAATTTCACGAGTTCGTGCTTGCTGCATCCTCCTACACACTTCGGAAGCAGTTCATGCACTTAATGTTAGGCTTGTTGACAATATGACGTTCCATATTGCTATCTCGGGACACATTACTCTGTCTCATGCTGCAGGTCAACCCTACCACATATGGCATGAGTGGCTATCTATATGCTATATGTACCAGAGGTATGTATGGATGCAAGATTGGGACTGGGATTCAAGACTCGCCTGCTTTTCTGTGTCAGGGCACCCAAGCTGCAATGTCTTCGCTGCGCGAGGAACATGCCGTTGGCACCATGAATGGTGCTGTGATCCCTGCAGTGCACGTCAGCAGCACAAGCACATTCCTGATTCCTTACTGTGTTAGGAGTACAGAACCGACGTGCAGAGCAAGGAAGGCGAGTGCCAATAAGGCGAATTGACAGGGCGTCCTTTGGAGACCCAGATTTGTAAGTGAACCCAGAAGTGACAATCTTCTAAATGGCCACAACCACAGCTTGCAAGGTACCGTTGTCGGCAACAGCAGGGTCCCAGGATTTTGCTTAAGATTCTGAAGATCTCAATTCGACACGGCTACAGTCTACATGCAAACTCATCTGGACATGGTGGTTGCATTTGGTGAAAAGGGTGTCGGCATCTTCATTCCTACGTGGGCGAAGTGCTTCTCCATGCTTTCGCGCCTAAGCTTGGACGATGATGGCCATTTCCGTGTCACCACACAAACACATGCACAGCGAAGGGCAGACATTTGTGGCGGAACATCTGCCGAGTTCTTGACTTCTTCTTGGCTTTCCTCCACGCTTCTTTGCGCTCGCGTTGGGCCTTCATTGCTGCTGCGACACAAAAGTTTTAACTCCGGCCATTGCAGTCAAAGAAAACCCTCCACACAGCTGGCAGCAACGATTGCTAGATGCCTGGTTCAGCTTTCGGCCAACATCTCGCAAGTGACGAATCTCCTCGGCAAGGTCACAAAGCCGGTGTGCATCTGGAATTTTCAAGACCAGATGGAATGAAGTCTCCTTGCGCATATCACCCGAATCCTCGCAGCGTGCCCGCTGCATGCCTTGGGCAAAACAGGCTAGAGCTTTCATCCAGCACTGCATGACCTCAGCCTGTCCCATCAATGCGCTGAGCCGAGATGACACCAGATGTCATAATCATGAGCTGGAAGTATCTGCAGTGTGCGGATTGTCTGCGGCTACGGTTCAGGGGCCCATGCGCTGCTGCTCTTGGCGACGCTCGAAGAAGTCCATTTTCTGCCGCTCTCGCTCCTCGTTGTTTGAAAGGACCTGCCAGCTTCGCTTTGCACATCGAGAGATGCTCCGGAGATGCTGTACACTCCTGGTACCGCTGTAGCCCACGATGGGCCAAGGCCCAAGGGTGCCAAGGCGATCCAAGGCGCCTGGTTGTACTTCAGGCGCCAGCGGAGTCTCTCCTCCAGGAGCCGGCTGGCCATCCTGCGGACACGCGGAGGATCCGGTTCGACGGAAGCTGGGCGCTTCGGCACGTCGCTTCCCGCGCCTCCACTTGATCGCAGAGTGCTGCTCAAGGACCCGCTCCTTGCGGGGACCATGCGACCCAGAAGAGAAGACAAGTGCTACATGACGCCTTCAACGCCCGGTCGTGATCCACGCTCTTCGTCAGCACCTCTGGGAACCGAGGCTTCCATGCTCCCGCTGATCTTGCGTTGTGCAGACAAACAGAGCATCTGTCTCGTTGCTATGGCCTCCGTCCGATGAATCTCGAAGTCGCGCTTTGTGCCAAGCACTTTGTCCCTGGCAGCCTCCTGCATCGATCACAGATTGCGAAGCTTCCGCAAGCTGTCGCGGAGCCTCTCGGTCGGCATGGCTTACGCGCGAGGTCGTCGAGCCTTTGCTTCGTCAGTAGCCCCAAGCTTCCCAGACCCTCCCTTCATGCAGCCAACAGTGATGGACAGAAAAACTCGACATCCGAGCCAGTGGCGCATGGTGGATCCAAAGCCCCGGCTGGGTGTGGCCCTGTCGGACCTCACTCGCGAATGTTGCGATGCAGCCGGTGAGCATGATCTGGGGGGGCAGCCCGTTCATCCGTGAGCTCGTCATGGAGAAGGGAACTGCAGTGGCGCCACGCTTTGGGCGCGTCGGATCATCCTGCTAAGCTTGTTTGTGCAGATGCACTGGGCACTTTGTGTAGCGAATGGCGTCCGGCATCATATTCGCGCCTAGACTCTATCGGACCTGTAGGAGCTAATGCCTCTTGGAAGGTATACAGTGGGTTTCTGTTGAGGATGACTGGTCCACCTTCTGGGTTGTGCATCTGGCTCAGCCCTGACATCTTCCTAAAGAACGTATCTGCACCTGCTGCAGCAGCTAGAGCGGCTAGCCAAAATGAAGCTAACAACAAAAAAGCTGCCTGCTCATGGTGCATATGTGAAGCAACAATTAGACCGAGTCTTGTGTGGGACATCACGGGTGTGTTGCATCATCATAAACTGACTTCAGTGACAAAAGCAAGCCGTGGTTTCATGGCCTCCATTGAAAGCTGGTGCATCGNNCCCGGCATACGAGGCACCACTGAGGACAACGTCTAACAAGAAGACTCAAGGAACAAAAGATCTAGCCGACAACTCCGCGGCAACTTCCAACCTCGATAGTCAGCACATGTGGGCTTCAAAACAATTCTCTGAAACAAGCAGCTGGCTGCTACATCCACTACTTGTAGCACTGTAGGATCTTGCATGGTTTTCGAGTCGCGAGCCGGCTGGCTCTGATAGACAGTCAGGCATTCACGGCCATCGCACCATATCGCACCCGTGCCTCGTACTTCTCTTCATCCTCGAT